ACATGTTTCCTGTAAGGAGAAGTCATTCTTTTAGAAAGGTGTATAAAGTAAAACTATCTATTCTCCACCAACAGCCAGAGGGATCTGTTAAAAATATAAATCTGATTTACGATTTAGGGTGTTTACAATTGATGGATTATGGTACTCTACTGCTTCACATCCTTCCTTGGCCTCCCATTGCCTTTAGAACCTCCTTGTCTTATCCTAGAATCTCCTGGTTAATCTCTCTGCTACCTCTAATTTTCCAACCACATATTGAGTGCCTCCCTGCCCCTCACCATGTACCAGACATGTTAGGTTTTTCCCATCTGCCCTTAGAGCTGATAAAGCGTTTTCTCACCTCAGTGCTGTTGCTTCTCTCTCTCTGAAAACAAGCCCTCATCTACTCAACTGATTGTTTGTCTCTAGCTTCTGGTCCTAGATTAAGAGCTCTGCATTCCCTCAGAGAGCCTCCTCCCATGAATCAAGTCAATGATTCTTCTACTCTTACCATTATTCTCTATGTCTACATCCTCTTTATCTTCTTAGTAACAATGACCAAGAGTTATTTGTGTATAACTATCATTGGATTTTTTTTACTTTCCATCTCTTTCTAGATTGGACAACTACAAAAGAGGAAATTTTATTTATGCATGGCATTTGTTAGGTTTACAATAAATACCTGTTGAATGATTATAGAATGCAAGAGCCAAATAACCAAATTCAAGTAACCAAATTCAAATGGTTATGGGGGAAAAAAGAAGGCAATCAATAAAATGAAAAATGAACAAAGGAAAACCAAAAGGCAGAAAGTGGCCGTAAGTACAGAGTTCGTGGAAATGGAGGGCTGTGACTATTTCATGGAACCTACTTCATATTGGATAGTCAGAGAAGAATTCTATTAGCAGGTAACATTTCAGCTGACTTTGAATTCTGTTGAGGGTCTCTTAGGAAAAGTTATGAAATATTAATAAGCTTAACACTGATGAGCACCAATAATTGACAAAACATGATCGAAAGGAAATAGCCATATGAGGATCAGTGGGATGAAGACTCTAGAGAGAGAAGACTAATGCAAGAAATACCGTGGTACTTCCAAGGAATTATAAAATACCAGAATGGATGGGACACAATGATCCGGGCATAGAGTGGCAAGGAGCAAGATCAGAAATGTACAAAGGGCTTAGATCCTGTAATGTTGGTATTTCTAGTCCTCCCCGAGCCCCCAGAGAGCATGAATGTTGTTGTGTCTTAAAAATGACCCAAAGCCAGAAATGTTTTAGGAACACAGAGTAACTCTAACTTTTGTGCTATAGAGGAGATGGGAAACATGGTGTGAAAAGCTTTTGTAGTTATCTTCTAGTTGCCCTTTAATTTTCAATCATAGAAGAAACTTCACAATGCCATTTAAAAATACTTCAAAGTAAAGATTCATTTTAGCCCTAAATTTCTTTATTTCTTTTCCACCTATAACTAAAGACTAAGTCCATATCAGTGTAATGACTTGAGTCTTTAGGAAACTCTTAGGATGACCTTCACTTTATTATAATTACATAGTGAAAATATGAGGAAGAACCTTGGAGTGAGGTTCTTGACTTTATATTTGTTTAATATGTGAAGTAATAGTTTGATAAAGTTTGATGAATGAAATAGACTGATGCCAGCAGAGTACTATATTTTTATTTTATTGCATACAATTTTCTTATCTGTAGACCTAAATGTACCACAGACAATTGTGTTTCACTTGAAAGAAAGTAAGACTGAGTTTTTAAGACCTGGATTGCAAGTTTGTAGCTGAAACTTTTGAAAAGAAGTGCATTTCATTGTAATAGTCCCTGACACACTATATGGGGTAGCCGTGTGTAAGTAAACTAGTATAGGCAAGTAAGTTACTGAAACGTCTCTGGCTTAAACTTGCTTCAGTGTAAAATGTTCATATTAATCATGGAATGACAGGCTTAGTATGTGGATGAAACAACTGAGGTGGATATGCCTGATATATACTGAGGTGTTCATTTAGTGTAAAAATGTGCCTCAGACCTACAGAGCAATAGCTTTGGAACCTAACTGTATGCATTTTTTTGTTGAAATTGATGAAAAAAAGTTTATCCTTCTCGTTTCAAATGGCTCCACAAGTATTTACACTGAAAAAAAATTCTTTATATTCATGACAAATTGTGAGCCATAAGGATAGTTAAGAAAGAATATGAAAACAATTACATTTATGGATATGTATGACTGAAACATTATACTCAACACCAGAAACTGAACCACTGTAAACTAACTATACTTCAATAAAAAAAAAAGAGTAACTTCAAAATTTCTGGCTTATTCTGTGCCAGGAAAAGAATTTGAGATGGATTGTGAATTATTCTTTCCTCCTTTTATGGATGTCTCTCTTTTTGGTTTTGTAAATTCATAGAGAAGGGATAAAATTTCAGCTGTGATTCCTTCAAGCGACTGTTCCTTCCCCGTGTGTCTGTCTAAGAACTTTTATCCCTTATTGGCTTTGCCAAAGGCTAAGCAAAAACAAGAGTTCTTAGGAGAAGGGCCTATGGAAAAGCCAATTTCATCCAAGTAACACATACTAAGGATTTGGTAAAGTAACAGGAAGATTCTGGAGAAAAAAATCACACGCTACAATCATTACTAAGGGTTGATGGTTGTTCTCCCCATGGGCTATTAAGAAGCTATGACCATGGATATTGAAGCCTTGGTAAAGTACAAGTTATCAGAATAAATGCCTGCCCATTACTAAGTAGTCAACAAATGCTAGTTCCTAGGCCTTTTTTCTAAGTGATCTGCAAACTTCCTTAATTTTTCTTTTTCACAAATTTCAACAGGTATAATCCTTCCTATGTAAATCATTACTCCTTTGGCATCATGAACAGCCTAAGTTACTCTCCTCTTCAACAAACGCCTCATGGCATTTTTCACCTCAGTGTTTCTCACTGTGTAAATGATGGGATTTAACATGGGAGTAAGGACTGAATAGAACACACTCACCAACTTGTCTACAGGGTACGTGTCCACAGGACGCATGTAGGTGAAAATAGAAGGGACAAAATAGAGCACCACTACTGTAAAGTGGGAGCCACAGGTAGAGAGGGCCTTGCGCCGTCCCGCAGAGCCATGGGATTTCAGGGAACGCAGGATGACTATGTAGGAAATGAGTAGCATGAAAAAAATGAGTAAGCACATGCCCCCACTGTTCACTGCTACCACCACTCCAAGCCTGTAGGTGTCGCTGCAGACAAGTTTCAACAGTGAGAAGAAGTCACACATGAAGTGGTCAATGACATTGGGACCACAGAAAGTCAAGTCATCTGCAGAAAGAATCTGCAGAGTAGCATGCACAATGCCCCCAGTCCAGGCCACCACCACCAGGAGCTGGCAGAGCCCCTGTCGCATGATGGTTGTGTAGTGCAGAGGCTTACAGATGGCCACGTAGCGGTCATAGGCCATGACAACCAGTATGATGACCTCTGAGCCTCCCAGAAAGTGTTCCAAAAAGAGCTGAGTCATGCAGCCACCCCAGGAGATGGTTTTCCTCTGCTGCAGCATGTCAGTGAGCATTTTGGGGGTGGTGACAGAGGTGAGTGATACATCTAAGACAGACAAATAACTGAGAAAGTAGTACATGGGAGTTGAAAGTGTGGGGCTGAGGGAGATGGTGATGACAATGAGCAGATTGGCCAGCAGGGTAAATAGGAAAGTAAACAGGAAGACAATGAAGAGTACTTTCTGCAAATGTGGATCTTGTGTGAGTCCCAAGAGAACAAATTCAGTCACATTGTTGGGAGGCATGAAGAGATCCATTCAGCAAATAACACCTTCCTGGGGCCTGAACTACTTAGAAAAGGAAAAAGGAAAGATATTCATTGATCATACAAAGATCATGGTCTGAATTTCTTGGTATAAAAACTAGAGCAGCCACTGTACCTGTGGAGTGTGTCCTTAACACTCCTGCCCCAGTGCTTGATTCAGTTCTCTCTTACTTCCTCCATGATGTTTCCATCTCTTCAAACTCCTCATACCTGTCACCTGTGAAACATCTATAGGGCAACAGTTGATGGGAAATTTACTCAAAAACCATAGGCTGTCCTCGTGAGATCTGGATTCTCCTTCTGGTTCCAACTCCAGGTGACTCTGGTGCGTCAGCTCTGTGTCCCATGATTCTGAGCCTTCCTCTGTGTCTGTGAGGTTACAAACTGTAAATCTCAGATGGGTCTTGTGAGCTGAGAGGTGCTGCACACAGGTAAGATGTATTCCATCTTCCATGAGAATTTACATTTGAACCCTCAGCTCTAACTGGAAAGAAAGACAATGGCGATGATAATCTACCATAAGCAGACCGTTTAGGGAAATGTATATGTTGTTGTTCACATGCCCTCCCTGGTACCTCCCATAATACAGATGCTATTCGTGTGAGTCTTGTCACTGAGCCTGCCGCAGTGCCTGGCCCAATGCCTGCAGTTTCTGAAACCTATTAGGTGACTAGTAAATGCTTAGAGAATCGCCATTCTCCGTGGGTAAGAATGCAACTGCTACCCAGACCACAAACCTACCAGGAATTAAAGTGTGTTTGTCCCCCTGCTCTGTTTATCATTGTTTATCTGCTTCTCTATAAGAAACATAAATAAAAATCTGAAAAGAAGCTGTATTCCAGTTTAATAGTTTCTAACACATTTATAGGGTAAATATGAAAATATGAATCACCTCTAGTTATGAGTAAGTTACGGGATCATTTTACTCTCAACATAATTACAGTGTTTTTTAATTGATAATTCTCATTCTTCAAAATTCTGTTCCACACACAATTTAATATTGACATATTGAGTGAATTTACAGGCTTTGTAGACTTGGGGAAAAAACCAAACTCTTGCATAGGTGTTCAGTACACAAGGATCTGTCACACAAAGGGAATCCCAATTTTCAAAATTCAAAAAATAATAAAAAATGAAAGAGTCTGCTAGATACAAC